GACATATATATGAAAGTCCCTAAAAGATTTAAGGTGCCAGGAATAAATGATACATGTCCGAGAACTATGTTTTCAATTAAATTACAAAAATCATTATATGGATTGAAACAATCCGGACGCATGTGGTATAATCGCCTTAGTGAATATTTGTTGAAAGAGGGTTATAAAAATGACGATATCTGCCTATGTGTCTCATAAAGAAAACAAATATTGGATTTACAATTGTAGCAGTTTATGTTGATGATTTAAATTTAATTGGAACTCCTGAAGAGCTCAACAAAATTGCAGATTATTTGAGAAATGAATTTGAGATGAAAGATTTGGGGAAAACCAAATTTTGTCTTGGATTACAAATTGAACATTTTTCAAAGGAATTATTTGTTCATCAATCTACTTATATAGAAAAAGTCTTGAAACGCTTTTATATGGATAATGAACATCCATTGCCATCACCTATGGTTGTTTGATCGCTTGATGTGAAAAAAGATCCATTTCATCCACTTGAAGATGGAGAAAAAATTCTTGGTCCTGAAGTAACATACCTTAGTGCAATTGGAGCATTAACTTATCTTGCAAATTGCACTCGACCTGACATAGCTTTTTCTGTAAATCTCATTGCAAGATATAACTCTACACCAACTCAAAGGCATTAGAATGGTGTTAAGCATATTTTTCGTTACCTCAAAGGTATTATTGATATGGGACTGTTTTATTCTCAAAAGTTAGGATCTGCTTTAGTGGGATATGCAGATGCAGGTTATCTATCCGATCCACATAAAGCTAAATCACAAATAGGATATGTGTTTACACGTGGAGGAACAGCTATATCATGGAGATATGTGAAGCAATCCTTGACAGCAACATTCTCAAATCATTCTGAGATTATTGCAATCCATGAAGCAGGGCGAGAATGTGTATGGTTGAGGAATATGACACATCATATCCAATCATCATGTGGATTGATTTCAACAAAAAATAGTCCAACAATTTTGTTTGAAGATAGTGCAGCTTGTATCGCACAACTCAAGAGATGCTATATCAAAGGCAACGGGACGAAATATAGTTCTCCAAAATTCTTTCATACACATGAATTTCAGAAGAATGGTGACATTGATATTCAACAAATTCGCTCAAGTGACAATGTGGCTGATCTATTCAAAAAGCGCTGCCAACATCTACATTCAAGAAATTAGTTCATGAGATTGGAATGCGTCGACTCAAAGATTTTCAGTGATCAACATCAGGAGAAGTAGCTGTACTCTTTTTCCTTCGCTTAGGTTTTGTCCCATTGGGTTTTCCTAGCAAGGTTTTAATGAAGCAGCATTTAATTTTAATATTCCAAAATAACTATACTCTTTTTCCTTCGTTTAATTTTTTTTCCATTGGATTTTTATCAAACAAGGTTTTAACGAGACAGATATTTTGTAATATGTCATTCAAGGAGGAGTGTTGTAAATGGAAAGTCCATTAAAATTTATTGGTGAATGACATTTGTACCCCTATAACCCTATAAATTATTACCATTGTATTCCCGATTCTTACCTATAAATATAGGGTTTTGATTTTCAATAAAAAAGTTTATTGAGTTTTCTCTATTCTCTTTTCCTCTCATTTTATAACATATTTGACGATATATTAATATAAAAAAATATTTTAAATTGTACCTATTAATAAATTCATAAGTAATATTTCCTTATTCAATACTCATTTTTATTTCTATTCTAGTCATAGGTGAACGTGCGTTGCAAGTAATTCTAAAATGTTTTACAAGTGTCGTAAAAGTAATATTTGATGATGCATTAATAGTTAAAATTGTTATGTGAAATGAACTTTTTATACAAGTCAATTATTTATTTATGTGCATGTATAATAATTAACATTTATTTATATATACCCTAATATAATTCAATCAATTAATACTTTAAGTTCACTTACACTTTATATATTTTGGGGCTATATAATTAATCTAGAAGTACTACAATTCAACTATTCATGTATGAGCACGTATAGTAACTAACATTTATTTATAGATATATTAATTATCACATCATGTCTTCAAATTCATGTACACTTTATATGTTTTGTGGGCTATTCAATTATTCTAGAAGTAAATAATTATTCATCAATTACTATAGGAGTAGATAAATTATTCAAGTTCCTGTACACTTATTAATTTTTGATATTATTCATTTAATCTATTATATAACACCCTTTTGTCTAAATGTATATAAATTATTATTTTCTATATCTATTAATTCAAATTAATTAAATTACATGTTGGTTCATCTACACCCTTTGTCTAAATGTATACAGTATAAATTAATTTTTTTCTATATTCATTTAAATTTCACATTGGTTCACGTACACACACTTTATCTAAATGTATATAATTATTCTTTTTCTATATTCATTGATTCAAATTATTTAAATTCCATGTACATGAATGAATTTGATCGTTATCATACCATTCAATTTTTTATTTACATGCATGTATAATAATTAACAATCAATTAAAGACATATTGATATCATTGAAATAATTGATTTGTAGTAGGGTTAAAATCGTCTAAAAAATGATTATCCCTTGATGTGATATTCAATCTACACACCCTTTATCTAAATGTTTACAGATTATTCTTTTCTATATTCATTGATTCAAATTAATCAAATTCCATGTTCATGAATGAGTTAGATCGTTATCATACAATTCAATTATTTATTTACATTCATGTATAATAATTAACATTCAATTAAATACATATTGAAAAACGAAATGAATATAACATTGAAATAATTGAATTGTTCAAATTAATTAAATTCCATATCGGTTCATGTATGCATACTTTGTCTAAAATGTATATAAATTATTCCTTTTCTATATTCATTGATTCAAATTAATTAAATTCCCTGTTCATGAATGAATTTGATCATTATCATACAATTTAATTTTATATTTACATGCAGGTATAATAATTAACATTCAATTAAATACATATTAAAAACGAAAAGAATGTATCATTGAAATAATTGAGTTTTAGTAGAGTTAGAATCGTTCAGAAAATTATTCTCTCTTGATGTGATATTTAATATATTATAGATAAAATAAAATCGTTTATAATTTTTCTTTGATGAAGGCTTAAGATGTATTCGATCTAAACTTTCAAATACATTTATAAATTTATAAAAAATCAGGTATGTTCAATCAACATCATTTAACACTTTATAAAGTATTGCATATTCAATATAGACTTTTAAAATTTGTGAATATATAATCAATACTTTTCAAAGATATTAAAAAGTCATGAAGTGCTACAAAATGTTAATGACTTTTATAAAAAATAAAAATTCGCATACTAACTGTTAGGCTGAAAGTACAAATACAAATTCTCATAAAAAGTATCTCATTAATCTCATTTATTTAAAAAAGTCTCTAAATATTTTTAAAACTCCAAATTGAATACACCCTCCTTAGATTTTAATATAACATTACAAGGATCAAAGATGCTATTTCGCCAAAGTCCACAAGTATCATAAGGCATATACAAATAGGATTGACCACATAGTTCTTAGCTCATTAAAATATAGATGTTCTCAATAACATGTAAATTTCTAATGATTCGTTAATTAGAGGGATTTTATTAAATTTTAGTCGATTTTGAGCCTATATAAAGATTAACATATTCTTTATGAATTCTAACACATTTTTAGCCTATATAAAGAATAACATATTCATTATGAATTCTAACATATCATATTTTAATGGATTTCCAGCTACAGTAATGAAGTCAAATAAAAAATTAAAGAAATATAAATTAAATAAAGTAAGAAATAAATATTAAAATATTTCATTTTAAGTTTGTTTGGATACATTTTGGAGAAAATCCCATGATTATGATCATCGGCTTAGTTACCCTCACTCTAAAATAAATAACCATATTCATAATTGAAAAACTAAGTTCCAAAACTAAAATGCTCTGATACCACTTCTAATCATGAATTTTAAAAGTAACGTTGTTTTTATAACCTAAATGCCGAATCTTAGAACTTCAAGATTTTCACAAACTTAGATAAATAAGAGTACATATATTGTTCCACTTATTGACTCTTTTCAAAGAATATACATACATTGTTCCACTTATTGACTCTTTATAATTCTTTGATAAGAGTCCTTTACGATCAATTGAGTACACAATTCAATAATTATCAAACCATTACTAAACCATTTTAATAAATAAATAATATAAGATAAATGTGTTTTGGGCCATATTAAATTCTTACACAAGTGTGATTGTGATTATCATAACTAGCATATTTGTTTGCCCTATTTGATAGGAATTAAAATCAAAATTTTAGTAGTTGAAAGTTGTGAATTTTATAAAATTTGTGGTTAAGTTTTTTTTATTTACTTTGACTTAAATTAAAATTACTTTCTACCGGGAATAATTATCTTATTCTATTAATATGTGAAATTAAAGTTCCGTTTTTCGAGTTGCAGCACGCTGTCTTTCTTGTTACCATTTGTAGTTATGCGTGAAATATAATTTTATGTTGTCTTCCCTATTACAACAATTTGTAGCATCCACATGTTGACTGATTATAAGCATAAACAAGTGCCAAACAAGGAATTGGATAATTTCAGCTTAAACTATTAAAGTAACAGACGAAAGCCTCACAATTTGCATTCATATATGCAAATAGGGTTTCGCTATCGTGACGGGCCGTGACAGGCCCTTGTGACAGCTGCCAATTTGGCACCCCCTCCGGCCCCACTAACGCCCCCTCCAGTAGGAGGGTACCAAATAGGCACCCTGTTACTGTCACAGCCCGTGTTAGAGTATCAAAACCCAAGCAAAATATGACACATTTCCTTTCCTAGAATGCATCTCTGGTACTGCTCTTAGGCATGTTTTGCAGAACTGAATCTTGAGTTCTATAATTTTATTGACCAGCCATAAAAGAACATGGTCTACGGCTCTGTTAGTGTTTCTATGGAAGTGAAAGCACAATATGATGGGGCAAATAAATATTTAAACAATTCTACCGTTCATCAAAGCCGATATGAACAATGTCCCCAAAAAAAAAAAGGGAAAAGAAAAGTCATTGCACGTTAAGAGAAGTAAACAAGAAGCGACTAGTAATTGAATATGACAAGAACCCAGTATACTCAACCAGCTTCACTCATCAAACTCGTGCATATGATCTAATAAATAGTTTGCTGCGAGTTCCTCATTCTTGTTGCAAGCAAAAAATACTTCCAATACCAAAGCTCGTTCAAAACCCATTGCTTCAAGCTGCATATCAAATTTCCAGCTGGTTACAAACAGAACATGATGCGACTACGATAATTTATTTGGCATAGAAGGATAAAACGTGATTGGAAAATGATTTTCAATAAGAATCAGAAAAAAAAAAAAAGGAAAATAGAATGCTCCATCTACTGATTTGACTCTGTTGATACTTGTGGCAAAGATCACATGGCCATATCAGTTCTAGCTCTATGATGGTTTTGATGGATCTCAAGGATTCAACCAAAAAGACAAATTATCATTTCTTTTTAACAAGGATCCGAAATGAAAATACTTGGAAGGCCCAAGTCATCAACCCATGCAGTATTTTCTGTGCAGATCTTCTCATTGAATTAATAGCTTAATCAAGAATCTCAGGAGCTGGTAACATGGGGGATACACAGTTACTCTCACGTCAGAGATTAGTGTGCCAAATAACTAAAAGTTAACAAGTTTAACTGCAAATAAGCAGGCTTCAAGTCAGAGATTAGTGGACCAAATGTCATTTAAGAAGCCTTGTTGAAGATTAAGGGTTTTAACATTGGCAACATATGAGAACGTGTTTTGAGCTATTCACTTACCATCCTATTGAAGAAAAGGCCTTCAGAATGATGGTAGTAGAGTTGCTAGGGTAGCTTGCTGGCAAAAGGCATGTATGGTATTTGTTTAATGAGAATGGAAAGGCAATTATTGCTACCTTTTCAGCGATAACGAGCACTTTTATCATGCACGACCAGTGCAATGTGTCTAGAAATGTCCATTAACTCATGAGCAGTACTGTGTGTACAGAAACTGTACACACAGAACCACTATAGAAGAGAGACAGCACTAGGGTGGGTGGGTGATTTTTTGCCATTTTTTATCACAACATGGGCCCACACAACACTCTCTATTTGGTGCATTTCTGTGAAGCACTCTTCTGTACAAATGGAATTGCTGTTAACTCATCACTAAATGCAACAGTATTATGCTATATTAACTAACTTTGTATTATGCTATATTAACTAACTTTTACGTATGAATACCACATTCTAAAAAATCCTATTTATAGTCATTACAAACATTTGTGACAAAAGCACTATGGCAATCGCAAGACTCCTATTGTCATTCACTAATTATAAATTACCATTCCCAATTTGGATAGAACTATCATGATAAGCTTCCTAGAAATCTGAATTGACAATCTAAAATTGCATGCTTACAAGGTGTGTATTGTTCAGATCTAAAGAGAATATTTGCCAAAATTGCGGTCCAACAACTATGCCTATGTTTGGCTCATGTTTATAAACTGTTTATAAACGCTCAAACCACTTTTTATCCACACATATCGAGGGACCAAATGTAGTACTATGCACTTATCGATCACCTATTTCTATCTATTTATAATTTATGTGATATGAGCTGTTAAAAATGCATTATCTCAAAGATAAGGATCAAGGTACTAGGAACTTCAAATTTATTCTATCAGCATAAACAACAGTAAAAGCGTTACCTGGTAGGAATGGTTGATGAAAAAGATTATCTAATGATCTGAAATTTTACGTATTCATCATAGATAAAAGTTAAACTAGATAGGATAGTGCGTTACCTGGTAGGAATGGTTGATGAAAAAGATTATCTAATGGTCTGAAATTTTACATATTCATCATAGCTAAAAGTTAAACTAGATAGGATAGTGAAGAACTTACACGGTCAATTGCCTCCCCCTCTTCAGGTGTGACTGACACAGTCTGTGGCGTTGCTTCAGCAAGCTGCCCTAATATGTTCCTAAATCATTATTGAAATTAAGTCACCGGTCAAAAGAAGACACAAAAAAATAAAAATAAATAAATAAATAAAATAAATGATGGAACACAGATCTAGAAGAACATGAACAAATGAACAAAAAGGCATATAACCAAATTAAAGTTGCAGTGTGAACCAAGAGAGGTAAAACTATAGGCAGAACTTCTCACCCCTCCCCTTCAACTGGTTCATTTATTAGGCGCAGGAAGTCAGCCTGATGCTCTTGAATCAACTGCACTAATTGTGGATTTTGCTTCCCCAGCTCTTGAAGCATAGGCTGCAGGTCCCAAGAATGATATCATTACAAGGAAAAAAGAGCATTGCACCTATGAATTGGAACACTGTATTGGATCTGCAAAATCAATACCTGCAAGATTTGGGGATTTGCTTGCACCATGGCTCGCAGCGCTTGAAACTGGATAGAGATGGAGGAGAAAGGATGAACAAAATAATATAGCATATTTTTTTGTTAACAGAATGTTGTGTTTCATATGAAAAGCATCT